AAGAAGTGGTTAGAATACCTCAAACAATTTATATAACAGATTTTGGGCTAGATTTTTAATTATATTCATCTTATTTATCGATTTTATAAAAGAGTAAAATAGCCTTATTTATATTTTAAAAATTAGGTTGTTTTAATTTTTTTAATGAAATTAATTAAAACAATATAATTGTGGTTTTTTTTTACTTATTTTTTTAGGTATAGATAATAAATATTTTTTTTATTATTTTTAAAAAATAGTGTTTAAAAATATTCTCTCTCCTAATAATAAACCTTTTTTTAATTTAAATATATTATTTTACAATTTAGGTTGTATTAGATTGCAAAATAAGAACTCTTAGTTGGAGGAAAACTCCTAAATATTAGGAGCTCATCTCTTATTCAAGGGTTTATATTTTATGGTTTGATATATTTCAAATTACAAAACACTTGCATTTAAATTTTATTTTCATAATTAAGATTCAAGAACAATTTCTATTTTTATATGTTTTATTTTTTAAAAAATAAAGAAACTTTTTTACATATTCAAAAGAGATTGCATTTAAAAGTGGCAAAATTACACTTAACTCAACTCTAACCCAACCCGTAAAAAGCGGCTAAAACCTACTTTTAGCCTCTCATCTTATTAAGTTTGAAGGTTTTAACCCCTTATCTTATACTATAACATTTTTAACCCCTCACCTATTAAAATTGAAGAAATTAACCCTCACTTTATACTAATTGTTAACTTTGTTAGCTGAAAATAAATTTTTATCAACTAACAGTCAACTAATAACTAATTAACATAATTAACAAAATATTATAAAGTTAATTCTGTTAACTCTGTTAACTGAAATAAGGTTTTTGACAATTAATAACCAACTAACAGTCAGTTAAGAGAATTAACAGTCAGCTAAGAGAATTAACAGTCAGCTAATAAAACTAATAAAATGTTACAAAGTAAATGTTATTTTCTTCAATTTTAATAAGTGAGGGACTAAACGTGTCATAGTATAAGATGAGGGATTAAAACCTACAAATCTAGTAAAGTGAGGGGTTAAAAATGTCATAATATAAGATGAAAGGTTAAAAATATCATAATATAAGATAAATGGCTAAAACCTTCAAATTTGATAAGGTGACGGGTTAAAAGTAAACTTTTATCGTAAAAAGCGAGTTAGAGTCAAGTAGTATTGGACCTATGACCTGTTTGACCCGTATGTTTTTAAAATTTCAAAAAATATATTTTAATAAAATAATTTTTTAAGGCAAAATAACTAACAAATATAATTTAAAAGAAATCTAATATGTTAATGACCATTACAATTTATAAAATTTTTCAAAAGGGCTTGATTTTTTTCATTCAAAATTTATAAACCGAGTATTATACATTATATACGATTATTTGTAAAGAAAATAAAAAAATTAAATGAATCATTCAAAATATATTCCCAAAAAAAAAAGTCATTTTGCTTAAACTAATCAAATAGAGAGAAGCAAAATAATTAGAAATAATCATATGTTGTCTTCTACTGTTGGATTCTCTATACAAATGATTGGTGTACAATTTATATTTGCCTTCTAGTCATCGTTGGGACTACTGATGTACACTCCACGGGGAGCAATACTTACAACAACTGCCTGCCACAGAAATATCCAATCAACTCATTACAGAGTCAGCAAATTCATGCTATATTACAAAATTGTTGATACCACACATGTTTCTGCAATAGTGCAATTACAAAGCAAGACAAATAGCCCTTCAAAATGTGTTTATGACATTAACAGAAAAGCATAGAAAGAATAGTGCCAGCATGTGGGTAATACAATGATCTATCAATCGAATCAAACAAAAAAATTGAAGAAATGAAACTTCCACCATATGTCTAACACCTCATCATCAATTTACTATGCTTACCAGCAACAAAAAAACTTTCAGTTTTTATCTGGAATTTAAGAAGCAAGCCATGAAAAATATTCTTCAATTTTCAAGAAAGCAAAGAGAAAGGCTCAAAATAAGAAACTGATCAAATTTGGAAAGGCTGAGAAGCATGGCATGGAAAATGTTCTCAGAAGACAGTTGATGAAGATAAATACGTGAAGAGGGCGATGCTTCAATAACAAGGAATTACCTGGTTTCCATAAATTCTAGAAATCTGTTCTAAGCTACTTTTCCCAGTCTTTTCCTAAAAGGAGCATTCAGACAAACTATTAGAAATGGGAAACATGCATGCATTAGCATTTTGAGACTAACAACTTGAAGGTATTAATCAGGAGAAGCCCTGCATACTCCAGTTTTCAAGTAATCCTCTGCAGTATAAACTGCATCACTTCCGATAGAAATTTTATCAGCCCCAGATCTGAAATATTCTGAAGCAACTTCCAAACTTGAATAGTACCTGAGAGGAAAAAAAAAAAAAAAAAGGGAAAACAGAAATTGCTACTACATGTAATTGTAATTGTAATTGCAATTGCTTATGAAAAGCAGAATAAGGGCATGCCTAATAATACCACTTGCACGAAGATAAGACTAGTGCACATTATAGCAAGTAGAGGGTACCTGCCATTTGCATCTGTAGAGTCTCTAATCCCACCTCCAACTGTTAGTGGTACAAAAACATTTTCTGAAGTGTATCTTAATACCTATAAATAGCAGCAAGTGATCTACATTAAATACAATGATGTAGAAATGATAAAAGCAAAAAGCTCTTTAATACCAAAATTTCTACCAAAGTTTGTTTTAATCACAATGCCAG